AGGAAAAGGGACATTAATTTTACATTAGATTTTCATGATACCATACAACCCAACAAAATTTGCAGTATCAGAGCATTTGTTAGGTCAGTTTCCCTATATCCTTGCTGTTTTCCTAGGCAACGTGTATCAAAGTGTTCCTCACATTCTGTTCATTTGTCCAGAACTTAGCTGCTGGAGGGCTAACAAATTAAACTACATTACACATAATTGAACGATTAGCAACCATGGGGGAGAAATTCCTTAGAACAAGCAGTAAATTACTGACACTGGATGTGGGCATTGTCTTCTGGCAAAGTGTGTTTTGATTACTGAAAAAACAAAACAACAGCAACAACAAATTCAACACCAACCATCCACTCCAGGCAGTTGTGCAACTGATATGTTCAAATCCATTTATACTACATTATGTCCAATACAGTACTACGACTAGTTCTGTAGCATTTTAGAGATTAATTTATAATTAGTGAGTGCTTGTGAATAAATCCAACTTTATTAGATGAACTGGATTTTAGCCATGAAAACTCATGATTCTATATATTTTTGTTAGTCTCTAAGTGTATGTCTAGACTGCATCCTTCTGCCAAGGGAGGGATGCAGATAAGGCAGGTTGACATTGCAAATGAGGCAGGGATTTAAATATCCTGAGCCTAATTTGCATTAAAATGGCCACCACGTTTTGCCGACTCAGCACTTTGTCGGCAAAAAGCGGCAGTCTAGAGGGGGATTTGTCGAGAAAGAAAGCCTTTTTCGACAGATCCTGTAAACCTCCTTGCAGGATACATAAGGGATCAGTCAAAAAAAGCTTTCTTTCTCAACAGATTCCCCTATAGATTGCTGCTTTTTGCTGACAAAGTGCTGAGTCGGCAAAACGTGGTGGCCATTTTAATGCAAATTAGGCTCAGGATATTTAAATCCCTGCGTCATTTGCAATGTCGACCTGCCTAATCTGCATCCCTCTGCCAAGAGAGGGATGCAGTCTAGACATACCGTAAGATGCCACAGGACTACTTATTATTTTTAAAGTTACAGAGGAACACAGCTGCCCCTCTGAGACTTTTTAATACAGTACTAATGATTTGAGTAAGAAAGGCAAGGCTTTCTTGATGTTCATAGGTTAACCAGTAGAATTTTCTTAGAAATATTTTGTTTTGATGGGAACGCCAATAGCAGGGGGATTTGGGTTGAATATTTAATAGGCCTAATTATGAAGTCTACTCGGTTTTCACTTTAATGGTGGAGATAGAGTATTCCCTGAGCAAGAATTAGGTAAAAACTAAGTAGTGAATGCTTTTCTATATAATGGTGATTTGTTATAAACAAGTGAAAAATATGTTTTTGCTTCAAATTACCCAATATGGACTTATTTGCTTTGTCAAGGAATCAAAGATTTACCAGAGAAATCTAAAGTTCCTTTAATTTAGTCATATTTCTTGATAATTTGCCAAGAACTTGATAGGCATGACTAATTTGCATATACATTTACAGAAATAGATTTTACAGACTGGATTTTAATTGGAAACTTTGGATTCCCTTTGAGACCCGCTAATCCATACAGAGGATTGTTGGGTTCCTCCAAGACCCTCTTCAACCTGGTTCCCAAAACTTCAGGTTGACTTTGAAATCATCACGCAAGTTCCTTTATTTGACATACAGCAAAGCTATGCTGAACTGATCAGTCTCAAGCTTACTGTAGGATGTACCACACATACAAAGTTACACAGAAAACCTGAAGTATTAGGCCATTTTCTATTCAATCCACAATATATATATATATATATATTGCTTTTAATATACATTTCATCACATGTTTTAGGATTGACTTGGTTACTTTATAGAAACCAATCCCTGTACTGTAAAAGCAGGCTCTGTCCATGTGCTTTTCATGTAGAACCTGATATTTACATTCCAGGTTAATCTTGTCCATTGGTTTTAAAATCATTG